TTTTTACTTCAGCCGAATTTTTGCCGCCAAATTTTCAGAAAATCATTTTCATTTCAGTCATTATTTCAAAATTACGTTTTTAACTGACTTTAAAAAAGGAGAAGGTTATCAATTCGCAGGAATATTTTCACCCAAATTCATAAAAAACAAAGAAGACTTTAACTGCTTAATAAATCGAAAATCTATATGAAAATGTAACTTTATAAAGCTCGTTAAACCTATTTTATTTTTTATGAATAAGACCATTTAATTTTAATTTTAGTATTTAGTTTGCCCATGTTAGAGGGGAAAACAAAGAACTTGGTTGGTAATATCGAAGGGCCCTCGATTCTAAGAAAGTTGCACTGTACACCTTTTTAGATATTGAGAAGGCTTTTGATAATACTACCCTTGGATTTGTCTCCGAGACTATTGATCCAAAGATCCATAGATCTGTCAACTTTCGGAAGGGTCGAAACTACTAATGCTTCATGAGCGCGATATATCACCCTTAGGCAATACCGCCGTGAATATTAGGGAGATAAGGGAATGTCCACATGAAAGATTTCTTTCTTGGTCACTCGTGAAGGACAACTTCTTTACCAGGAGAGTGATTACTATGCCGATTGTTAGGCGGAATTGAGTATTAAATTATCGACAAAGTTCGGCACTTCGCTCTCAGACGTTATGAGTGCAGCTGTACGTGTGAAATCGCAATTGTGTGTCAGCGGTAAGCCTGGAAAAGGCTCCTCTTGTATTGTTCCCATAAAAAGAGCGCCAGTTCTTGAATACTCTCGACACAATGAAATAGCTTGGAATTGCCCTTGATAAGAGACAAAGTTGGAATTCAAATCGAGGCAAAACTCTTAGTAAAGCCAGCCGACCTATGCGGGTCAGGTGAAGATTTTTTGGTCGGACATGGAGTTCCGAGCTCTAGATTAATGGCAAGACTATAACGTACCCGCTGCCACTGTGGTGTAGTGGTTAGCATTGCGCGCTACCACTTCGCAGGGCCTGGGCTCAAGTCCTTTGTCGCTTAGTCTCCTCTCGTCGGTCTAAAACGTTTTATTAAACGTCAAAGGTTGGTCATAAGATCGGTAATAACTTGCTTAACCACTGCCCTAAAGTCGCTTCCGGTATAATTTTGTGTAAGCATCAGCAGCCTCGAGAGAGCGGCCTTGAGAGAGCAAATGCAAAAATATGGCGCAATTCTTCGTGAGAGCAAGCAGCAGAAAGATAATAGGGTTAGAATATTTCGCATTTTCCGACTCTATGCTGAAAGAAATCTGTAATGGGAGAAGATTTCAGATCGCAATCGATCGAGGTCTAAGCAAATGTATTTCCTCACGTCGATCGCAGATATGTAGCTATCTAAATAAATAAATAAAATGGGTACATAGACGAGTCAACGATTGAGGATATAACAAGTCCGGGCGTTTATGGATATGGTCTTAATCTTTCTATTGCAATGGGCAAGGCTGAAGTGGCAGCATCTAAACTTGTGCCAAATTACGCCTTGAAAATTGTTTGAGACGGCGCGTTTAGAGATATCTTTCAGACAGCCAAGCTTCAAACAAGATGTTTTCCAGGCTCGTAAGTACTGTTTTCGAAAACTCATCGTCTGTTTTTGTGGGCCCAAAACCATTGGTGTTTTTCGACACTTGCAATTTACGAGTAGGTAAGCTCAGAACGCTGAAAGTACTGTGGAGCGAAAGGCCAAGACAAGTCGGATTCTTTGTTTAAGTAATTTTTTTTGTCTTTTAATCTTTAGATTTAATTTAATTTTCTATTACCTTTTTTTTGTTTATACTTCATTTGATTTACTTGTTTGATTTAATGTTACTTGAATTTTTGGATTTTATTGTTTTAAAAAGAATCATATTTTTTTACTATCACTAAATTTTTATAAACTGATTTTATTAAGTTTTCCTTTTCTAAATCAAATTTTTTTACATACAATTGTTTTAATTTTTTGTTTTAAAAAGACACATAATATTTTTTCTTTATAATTTAATATAATTTTCAGAAAACGTTTTGCTAAAAGAAAAACATATTGACGCTAAGATCTCTTCGTTCGGATCTTTCAATTAGTCTCTCGAAAATTGAAAAGGGTTTCAAAACATTTTTCCGTGTGAGTCCAATTTTCTTTGCGCATATCTAGCAGGGCAGCCCTTAAAATGTGACAATCTAAATTTTGTATGGGGCATTTTTTTTGTTCTACGTACAATATAAAGACATACCCGAAAAATTAAATTTTTTTTTTAATTTTAGGAGTCGTTACCAGTGTTTGGAAAATTTTAAATTTTTTCTTTTAGATCGCCAAAATTTTGATTTGAAATCCGATAAATTTATCATGTTATTAAAATTTATTCAAAAAAATTTATAAACTCGCTGAATTATGGCTGGTTAAAGTAAAAATTTTGTAGAATTTTTGCGATTAAATTTTTTTTTTTAATTTTATTACTAAAACAAATCTAATTTTTCAGACCCTTGTAGCAAGTCTTAAATTATTGAAATTTTTGGTGATGCCCCACGATGTTGATAATTTAAGAACCATCCTAATATCTAGCCCTGACCGCGATGATAAAGTAAGCGAATTTACATTTTGATGCAAAAAAGTTGTTAAGAGCATCTAGGAGCTTTCAATCGCCCTTGATCTATTAAAATGAAACGCAAATTCTAAAATTTAAGCCCAATTTTTTTTTTTATATGTAGGTTAGTGAATAATAGAGAGGACTTGGTTGGTCGACGTACATAATTTTAGGTCGACAAAGGTGACAACGACGACAGCATTGACTTGGACAAAAACGAGATGTACAACAACAAGGCTAATAGCCAATTGTACGCGATGGCGGCGACTACGAAAACGACCACGAGGAGCACGATAGCGACGACCACGACAACGACGACGACAACGACGATAAATGACTTAACGCGCGATTGTTCCCGTTTCACTTTGTCGGCGGCGATAGTAGTGAAGGTGACGCGAACGTAACTCCTGTCACGGTTGACTTTGGCGTTAACGACGTCTATGCTAACTGTGACCGCGACGATGACAGTTACAATGGTTGTATTTGTTGTAACTACTTTTACTGGCAAGGTGGTGGTGCAAGTAGTATAAATTTGGATTTTTTTATTACTTTTGTTACTTTGCTTAGTGTCGTTGTTGTTGTTGGATATCGTTACAATTTCTTGTTGGTTAAGGATAACAAAGCTGGGGTTGTCGTTGTCCACATCAAAGACAACATCGACATTATCTATACGACGATGGTGGTGATGCATATTGTACACCAACAAAAAAGGCTCACGACGACACTCATGTGGGACGGATGGAACGCAAACGGCGCTATAATGTTGTTCTGTTGTTGTTTCTAATTTTCTTGTTGCTGACGTGCCGACACAATTGCTTCACACGGAATTTCGCATAACAAAAGTGTACGACGAGCGAACGTACATATGTACATAGTATGTAGATACCCGACAAGCAAATCGTCCGACCAATGTCAAACCACAGCGATAAAAAAATAGGAAACAAATTGGGATTGTAGTGCAAATTTTAGATTTTGATTAGGTGACATGAGGAAAGGTTGTTTTTTTACACGTTTTAGTTGAGTTACACAAACGTTTTTGTTGTTGTTGTTGTTGTTGTTGACATCTAGCTTATTGCAAGCAAAAGCTGTGAGTTCATTTGTTACCGCCTGCACTTTTGGGTCGGCTTGTGAAAGTGACCGCGTTGTTTGTTACACAGCCACTCTCTTTTCACTCGCACTCTTCCTCACTCTCTCTCTCTCTCTCTCTCTCT